ATGGGGACTGGATCTCATAAGTGAAGCATATTTGTGTGCATTGGTAATAGACCTTCTTTTATAACTTGATTTTGAGTCATTACCAAGAGTCTCCCATATCTGCATATACTATCCATCAGTTGGCTTTAAGTAATCCTTAATATGTTTCAGTTCAAAATGGGGAGGGTCCCTGGTGGCCAGAACAATGCTCCTATTTAAACTACATGCTAGAGATCCTTCTAAGAGACCTGTCTGCCTTTCACTTCAAAGGGATGGATTTATAACCAGGTTTTCATCTCTAAAAGAAGAAACCAACTTCCTATACTGCTTTCTAAATTGCCACCAACCTTTAGAAGTTGCAGCTTATTCCAGTGCAATCTACTGCAATATGTTGGGAGTTACCCACAAAGATGTCTGGATGATCATCTGCCATGGATACTTTAGATTCCTGCATTGCAGAGGGCTGGACAAGATGACCCTCGGGATCCCTTCCAACTCCACAAATCTACGATTCTGTGATTCTATAACCCTATAACTGCTCCTGTTATTCCACACACATTTCATAGAACTCACACAAGTCAACAATGGGCCTGTCAGGAGTCAGCATGGACCAATGGTACCAAATAGTATGGGAAACAGCCTTACTAGAAAAATTAACCAATAAACTGAAACTGACATGGGGACAAATAGAAGAAGATGCCTTCACCCTGGTATGGCTCCCCTTTATCACACACGCAGCCCAACAAGACAACGACAAAAATCCACCAACAGCATACAAATCAATATGGCTAACCTGATCCAAAACACCCACCCACCCCACTCACACATGAAAACAAAGACCACCACAGCCAACCACAAATGAACAGCCACACCCTAGGCCAACCCCAACCTCTCTCACCACCAAAGGAAGACAAGTGAACAGCAGAGAACCTGCACAAGCAACGCTGACACCAAACCCTACATATATTAAGTAAAATAGAAACATCGCCACCCGACCCCACCCCCACCCATCTTTCCCCCCCTCCACCTCTTTCCCCTTTTCTTCCTAATGTCTCAACAAATGAAACTGATTTGTTAAAATGTTACATGGGGGGGGGGGGAATACGAGAGAGAGAGACATTGCACACACTTTTGTATATCAAGAAAATCTTTAATAAAATAAAAACAAACAATGGGCCTCCTAAGCTCTTTGTTCCGGAAACCCACGATTGCTCCTTTGCCCTAAGCCATGGTTTGTTTTCGTATTACATGCAAACTTGGCCAAATTAGGTTTGGCGCCGATCATGGGTGTTATAATGACACTTCATTATCACATGGAAGTGGCTAATATGGTGTCCTTACCTGGATGGAGCAGGATCTTAGCAAGGTCAGGGCTGCACAAGCACACCAGTCAAGTCAACCCAGTGCTCCTGCCAGCCCCAATCTCGCCACCTCCTTCCCCATCCAGGTAAGTGGCAGTGATTCCAGTGTCAGGAGGGTAGCTCCACAGCACCGACTCACCATACCAGCTGCTCTTACTACCATATAAAGCGTGAACAAAAGACATGGATGTAGCATGCACATGTAAGCGAGCTACCAATCAATCAAGTTCCTCCACGGAAAATGCATAGGTTCTCAGTTACGTGTGTCTGCTGTTCAGCTTCCCGTTTCAACAACAGAATGACACCAATGGCTTCCCATAAGGTATAAAATGTAGGGCTGCCTTAATCCACTTACTATATCTGAATTTTAACTGTGTCCCCACCAGCCTAACATTTGAGATAAGTATCACTTCAGCACTAAAATGCCCTCTTCCAATTCAGTTACACTACAGGAGAAAAATGAGAACATAAAGGGGAAAGAACATTAATTATCAAAATTACATCCCTCTTATAAATTCCTTGAAAACAGTTTTCTTGCTTCTTCTGGTGGTATGCATACCATCAGCTACAGTTATTTCCCCCTCCCCAACCCCACCATGAAAAATAAAAAAAGTATTTTCATTGGAACATGTGGTTTTAGTTTTTATGTAGTTGCGCTCTCGTTGTTCAACCAGTTTACTAAGCGGCTAAATATTCGTCTAAGATTTATGTAAAGCAGACCCCCCTCATTGCTGATATATGCACTACCAGCTCAACAGCTATGGCATCTGTTGCTCCCTGGAGTTCGAGATTTACACCTCCTTGGATTTGCACCTCTGAGGCTAGTTAAGAGATCATAACTCCTGTGTATGGTTTTATGTATCAAGAGCCATGCTGAATTAGACTGACAGCACCATGTTTCAATCTCTATAATTACAAATGATTCCCCTCCCCTATTAATAACACACCTTTAAAACAATGGTATGTTAGTAAATCGAAACAAACTATGGATCTTGCGCTATGAATTAGGGCTGTGTTTGGTGGGTTAGGAGGACAAAAGTGGGGTTGGCTACATGCTCCAAGACTAAGAAGCTGTGGGAAGTTAGCAGAGAGTGGCTTTTGCAAAGACTAGAAGTGGGAAGGGAGAAAATGGGTGCTCCTTAGCTTCCACAAAAGCAAGTGTCTTTTGGGAGGTTTTTCATTTATTCATTATTACAATTATATCCAACGTTTCCTCCATAAAGCTCAAAGTGGCGTATTCAGTTCCCCGCCCCCATTTTATCCTCACAACAACCCTGTGAAGTACGTTAGGCCAGGAGAGTGTGACTGGCTTAAGGTCACCTGCTGAGCTTCATGGCTGAATGGGAATTTGAACCCTGGTCTCCCAGGTCCTGATTTAACAGCCTAACCAGTACACTTCACTGGGTCTCCATCTTCAAGATACAGGCCTCATAGAAGCCTCCAGCTTGGTGCAACCTGGAATCTCAATTTGGGCCCCAAGTTAAACCCATCTGGTGGCCAACACACCCATTCTAAAGACCATCATCATCTTGCTTGACCTGAGACAAGGTGCTATTTATTATATTTTTATCTGTACAAAATTCAGGCTGGCCCATATACGATACCTCTCTATGTTACCCTCAGTGATAAAATGGGACATTTAAAAAACAGACCCCACAGTTCCTATAATGCTCTTGGAGCAGTGCTATCTCAGGTGTGCTCTGTGGGAAATTCAGGAAACAGTTGAGAATATATATGACTGGATCTAGACTAACAGTGCAGTTCTAACAATGTCTTCTCAGTAGTAAATCCCACTGAATTCAGTGGGGCTTACTTCTAGTAAGGAGAGGTAGGATTGCAGTTGTAGACATGCTTAGGGTAGATCCACTGAACTCAATGGGACTTATCATGATTAACTGAAGTTCCAAGGATTTCCATGGATTTATTCTAAGTAAAACTAAGTCTCGATGCGATCCAGAGCTTCAAGCAGAGAGATAGCTCATTCTTATGCACACCTTACCCTAGTATATGCATTTTGGCACACATCACGGGGCTAGAGAAATACACTGTGAAAGTCAAAGAAGTCCACATTTTGAAGGGTGGCTGTGTTTTGTTTCACATATTGTTTTGGAAAGTGCAAATAAGGTAAGTTTGCCTTTCAATGTGAACTGAAACCACTTTCTTCCCCAACCCTATCTGGCACCACTCCAAAGCCTGTAAAAAAAACAAACCAAGTACTTCAGAATGAAGTTGCAAGGTGGAACATATTTATGCAAAAACAAAACAAACCAACCAACCAACCCCCAAACCATGTTTACATATAGTTCATAAATTTCCACAAATTTCCTCTGAGAGCAGAATTTGTATCCCCAATGCAATATTTGGGATCTCTGGATGCAGAGTGCAAAACAAGCCAGTCTATTTGCAAACAGTTTACTGAAACATTTGCCATGCGTTGCCTTGTTAAGTCTCTCACAAAGTTGAATTTGCTAAACATTACTCTCTAAAGGTTACCGTATGTGCTATTTCTGGCTTGTGGATTCTCAGGCCTCCTGGTGTAGTATTTCTCATTTCCATCTCTTGGTTTTTTAGCTTCACCACTGAGCGCTGATTTTGTGTTTGCAAGTCAGCGTTGTTTTCATTGCACTCAGCCACTGCCCTAGAAAGGCAGGTCTTATTTTTCCATTTTGTGACAAATGATGGAGTATCGCAGCCAAATGGCAAAGGGAAATGCCTCTGAACTTTTTGTTTATGATTTTTTCTTCTGGCATCTCATGATGCCCTGGGGCTGGCAAAGCCATCTTCACGGCCTCCCTGGCTACAAGTTGTTGTACTGGTCCAACTATTCCATTTGGGATAATGCTGCAATATAATTATTTTCCTACTAATTAAACATGGAGGGCAGTCTGTATTTGTTATGGAAGGAATCTGTCTAACTCCAGAAACTAATTTTCCTTGACCCAAGTGAATTTTGCTTGGTTGCAGCAAGAGTCTCCACGTTCAGCATCCTTTGGCTATCGCCAGTCTAGACCAGCCATATACCTTTCTTCTAGAAATGTTTTTAAAGTGTTCATTAAATCCCTGAGCTGAAAATGCAAATAAACCTATTAAAGCTGATCAGGCACAGATTGTCTTTATAAAGAAACTCAGATATACCTGATTGCTTGACCAAAGAAACAGGAAGCCTTCCAGAAACAGGAAGCCCTCCTATACTTCCACCTGCTCAGGAGTCACCAGCCACCAGCCTAGAAAGTTCTTTTTAATGGGGCTGCAGTTATGCATATCAGTGCATCAGAAGGTTGTCAGCATCCTGTCCCTTCATTAGGGGTCCATGGTTATTTATTATTCATATTATTTCACAGCATTTACGTCACTTGATTGTAATAAAACCTCAAGGTTATGCACTTCACATTACTTACACAGCATTCACTGAGACTTGGGTATTGGTGAGGCACTAGGGATGAGCAACACGCCATTTCAATAATGCTGAATATGTGTTGCCGTGGAACCACATCAGGACCAAGCGCTGCAGAGTCTCCAGCCTTGCACTAATCGCCCCCACATGCTTATAGGAACAAGGGATCCAGAATATTTGTCCATCTAGTTCAGAATTGTCTATACAGTACTGACTAGCAGCAGCTCTCCGTGATTTCAGGCAAGACAGTCTCTCCCAGCCCGACCTGGAGATGCCAGGGATTGAATCTGGGACCTTCTGCATGCAAAGCAGATGTACTACCACTGAACGACAGCCCTGCGTGCCTGAACTTACGCAAACCTCAGAATTCTCACATCATTGTGCTCTTGACCTCAGACCCTGTACTCCAAGATGGAGCATTTTCTCAAACTCTTACCAGATGTATTTGACAGCCAATCAGCTCAGTGCCCACGTGCCTTTCGTTGCAATGCCAATCAGTACATGCCAATTGGCGGAACACAAAGATGGAGGACTGTTCTCAGGCCAAATGCTTCCTAGAGCCAACTGGATGGTTTTCAATGGCCCAAGTTTTAAACCCAAAGTAAGAGGTGCCAAAACTCATCAGCTTCAGGATCATACAATATTTTGTCATGTTTCCAACTCCACCAATCACCATGCCATTCGTTCACTAGTCATCATAGCTGTCGTCACACAATCAACACAGGGGACAATACAAATAGAGAATATAGGAAACCTGGCTATTTATTTATCAGGAGATCTCTGCTTTTACCCCTATCTGCGCTGAGTCGTGTTCGCCCTTGCTTTTCCAGACAACTTGGGACACACAGCTTGGCGATTGAAGCTTTTCCCCACTTAAAGAATCAGTTGTGCAAACTGATGCTTCTTAGGGCAGCAGACTTTTAGACCAGGAATGCTGATGGGGATGCTTTTGAGCATGTGTGTGGTGCCCTTCCCAGAGCTGTGGACAGCTCTCACAGTCATCTGAGTCAAAGGGTGGAAGCTTCCAGGGCAGAGGGCACGGCTTCGAGCTCTCTTGCACCTCACAGTTTAGACTAAGCATCCGATGGGCCCTGAGCTTGTATGACTGCTTTGTAGTACATGAATGTGTTCCTGCCCGCTAGCATTTAGCACTGGAGTCTGGAAGCATTTCTCTTGGAACTGACTCATAGAGAAGGAATGGTGATCTCAAAGTCGCACAACAAAGCAACAAGCACAGTGCAAAAGGAGGCTGTCCGATTCAGCCCATGAATATAGAGTGTCTCTATAACTCTAGGAAATACGAGCGCAGCTTCTGTTTGAGACTTGTGTGTAACGGAGTAGCCTTAGAGAGAGAGAGAGAGAAATCAATAGGTACACTGTCCTTTGAATGGTTTCAGCAAGATGCTTTAGTTTCAGTAAACGTTAGTGCTGAGCCATTGAGAACTTTCAGCTCAAAACGGGGGAGGGGGGAATGAAATTGCTCTGAGTTGGCTAATTCATGCAAGTAATGCTCTTTCAATGTTCACTGCTGCGCGCATGCCACCTTGCAAATTTACGTCCTCCTTCAGTTTGCATTGGGCCGCTCGTGAAGCAATGGGCAGCGACAAAAGAGTGTGTGTACCGTTTCCTTCTTCCCGTGTCGCAGCTAATGAGGACCCCGTCGCATTAAGACAGTCAAGACGGTCTCTGGCAGAACGTGTTGAGCCAAGGTGTTTGGGCCTGCATAAAATTAAGCCACAAGCGAAACACTCATTTCTGACAGCAGATTTATAATAGGAAAATCCCAGCAGGAATGAGGCATTAGAACCCCCCACTTCTTGGTTTTTTTCCCATAAACTTCACCTTGATTTAGTATCTCAGGCAAGTAGCAGGAAAAGCTAGCAGCAGAGGTAACCCTATCATCTTTTCTGCAAACAGCACCCTTCCATTTTCTTGGCTTCCTCATGCTGCTAATGTGAATTCAAATCATCTGTGTTTAAGGTTAAACCCAATGATTGACAGAGCTTTGTAGTCGCAGTCCAAACTGAAGATTATTCAAGATATCTATCAGTTATTACTACAAACCCAGTATGACATTCAATACCTAGAGCGAAAATTGTTTTTAACAGTGTAATGTCTGAATCTATTTTGGAGAACTATTTTTAAATAAGGAACTAAGCATAACCAGGTGGCTAAAATCCAAACACAGATTTTGTATTTGGGGAGGAACAGGGAGGGGAGATACAAACACACAGTTTGAAGGGTGTTCCTTGCAACAAGACCTCAGTGGAAGATACAGGGAAGAAAAAGGAGGAGGGTTTCATTTTGATTCTACGTAGTTTAACTTCAAAGTTAGGAAGAATCTTGGGACTGGAACTTGCTTTGAATTTCACATTTACTTCTAAGGTCACACCCACAACATGCGTTCATAGCACATTTATACTTCCCCCACAAAATCCTGGGAACTGTAGTTTATCTCTCATAGAGCTACAATTCCCAGCACCCTTAACAAAACACAGTTCCCAGGATTCTTTGCAGGGAGGAGCCATGACTGTTAAAAGCAGCAATGTTCCTCAGGTGAAAATAGGGACATTTCTCACTCACCCCAACCTTCATTGACCTCCCCCCATTTTTTGTGCCCCCCCAGCAGAGCATTTCCTGTCAGAAGGGCAAGTACCATCACCGCTTCACCAATGGGACACAGCACATACTTAATCCCAATTTTATTTTGGGACACACACACCAATAATAAATTTTGGAAAGGGAAAAGATTAGACATGGATGCACAAAAAAACAAAAATCCAGATTTCTTGCGCTCCGCTCCCCCTGTCTTCCCGCCCAGGACAGCCCTGCCCTCTGCCTGCCCATCAGAGCCGGCACATCATTCAGGGCTGGGTTTGGGCGGTGGCAGCCTCTCCTCCTCACCTGCTCTCCAGCATCTGCTATGAGCTGCCCAAGGGAGGAGGCCAGCAGTGGTGATGATGGGGAGGCAACGGGATGCTCTCTCACACCACCTGCAGCTGCCACTGTCCTCCTTCCTGAGTGCGGCGGCTGCAGCGCTGGTGGACAGGAATGCAGACGTTCTAATCAGAAGCCAGGATGGCTTTCCTAATTCCGGGACTGTCCCTGGAAAATCAGTACACTTGGAGGGTATGTAGGAGTACTTTAAGCATATGGTGTGGATATAACCCAACACCCAAGTCTCTCTGTGCCTTCAGAGACCTAGTTCTCACAGAGGCGGTTAACCTGTGTTCTGGGTTGTACGGTTGCAGTTGAAGTCTCTAATGATTGAGTGCTTCTCAAAATCCCTCAACACAGAAAACTAGATTTCAGGGAGAAGGCTTTTGGCCATAACATTGTATGTGCCACATTAATATTCTATGTGGAGGGGTGTTTTTTTGTTTTTGTTTTGCCTAGTGTCACTCCAATGAGCCAAACCCAGCTGCGGTCCAAAGTGGTACAGCCCAGGCACCAATTTATGGCCTCAGTGAGGACTACGCCAAAGACCACTTCTACAGTGTCTGTGCCTGATGTACACCCTTTTGTAGAAATACAGCATTGTATTGATTCTTATCAAATACGCTGCAGCTAAACTGGGGTGGGTAAGGGAGAAGCTGAACCGCGATGTTAAGGTGGGAAAATTATTTCTCAAGCTTTTAACTGAAATCTCAAGGTCAGGGAGTGAGAAAAGAAAGGTGAATTTCATCCGGAAAGCGTGGGGAGGGGTAACAGCCCGCCACCCGGAGAAAGGATCTTGAGAGTGAGCGTCTGTCTTAGTTTTGATGTGATGCCTGTGACTGCCAGGTTCTTAGTGGCCTTTCCTGAAGCTTCTCTAATCAGTGGCTGTCACTCTGTGCTATTAGCAAGGAAAGGGAATTGCAAAGGGGAGGAAAAACAGTGATCTTTTAAAGAGAGTGGGAGAAAGAGAAAGTGATGGGGAGGGAGGGAATTCAAAGCAACTAACCATTCCAGTCACCTGATGCCAAAAGCAATAAATGCATTAACAGCTTGGCCAAACCTAAAAGTCATGAAAGCTTGCCGATTCCATCAGCAGAATAATTTTTCAAAGTATATGTGTAAACCCAGGAAGAGGCTTTCCCCCCTCGGTTTTCCTTTTTAAAGTGTTGGATTGAAAGACAGTGCGCAGAGCGGGGATACTTTGGAAAAAGGACTAAAAATGTGAAGAGAAAGGTCCTCCCGTTTATCAAGTTTTCATTTTTCCACATGCAAACAATGAAAGTCGAGAATATTCCGAGCCAAAAAATTAGCGTGAGGAAGGGAGGAAAAAGAAAGAGGGAGAGAGAGAAAGAGACGGGAATGTGTTCCATGGATCTGTGGAGAACCACATAGAAACATATACAGAAAGAGAAGCCGTAGCGCCGAGCATTTCCTGACCTCTTGGCTCAGAATCTAAAAGAAGGCTCCAAGGCGAGAAGCATGAAAGAGCTTACACAAGAAACCATTTAGAAGTGCAGCTCTCTGGCTCGTGAGGACTACAACACAGAGGAAATGTGCTGTGTAGGAGTGCACTCCTCCCACTAGGAAATGGTGGGGGAGAGAGAGACTGGTAATGCCATCATGTCACGGAAAGATTTTTCAGCCCGACCTCTGTGCCCTAGAGACACTGGGAAAACTGGGCAGATTGAGAGACAGCCATTGTGTTATCAGGGAAGGATTCTTAATCCTAGCCATATATAAAAAATGTGCACTGGTTTATAAACAAAGGGAACATGTAGTGGGTTTTGTTTTTTTACGTTTCAGGTTCTCACACAGTCCTGTTTTCAAGATTGCAGAGGTAAAAGCAGTGGCCAAATCCTACCAGCTCCCAGCACAGGGGGAAGGGCCACAGCTCAGGGCCAGAGCATCCACTTTGCATGCAGAAGGTTGCAGGATCAAAACTCAGAATCCCCAGGTAGGGCTGTGAGAGACCCTGGGCCACTGCTGCCGACCAGTGTAGCCAGCCCTGAAGGAGACGGAGCCATGATCTGACTCAGTATGAGGCAGCTTCCTATGTTCACATATAAATGTCCCAGCACTGGTCTGAGGAGGCAATGTTTTCTCAGCACAGTAACACAGCCTCAGTCCAAGCACTGACATAAGCAGCAGTGTCAGCTGTTCATCATCCAAGGGCATTATTTCAAAAGGCCGGGGCAGGGAGAGCAAGATTCTCAGCAGGATTCTAATCTGAACAGCAAAATTCAGACTGTATTCTAAGAGCACTGGCTCTGGGTACCTTTTTATACTTTATAATCAGGGCTTTTTTTCAGTCAGAATTCTTAGATGGGCACCGTTGCCATTCTAAGAGAACAAGGGAAGTGTTCATGGAGAAAAATATCTCTTATAATACAGTGGTACC